CCCCCCCCCCGTCGACGCTCGCGACACAGAGGGCCTCATCATATAACTTTGCGCGTGGGGCCACAAGTTGGCCTAGAAAGACAAGGTAAACTTAACTATGTGCATTTAAAGAAAAAAAAAGAAAAGAGGAATAGTTTCGTCAAAAACTGAAAGGTACCATGGGGTCAGATTATAACGTTCCAAAGGGGGGTTCGTTTAGCATGAAACACTTGAAATAACTAAAGTACAAGTTAAACAAGAAAGTAGAAAGAAAGGGAGGTGATAGAAAACTATTTCTGCTAAAAAAGTGAGGAATGATTGAGAGTCAGACCTAAACATTTCAGATGTGTGTATCTCACACTGCACTGTCACTTGAATTCATGTATCTTTGCTTTTAAATTAGTGTTTTTAAATGTAATTTCATAGTATGTTTCTTAATACTCTTAATGTCTTTCATTTTTGTAAAGCACTTTGAATTGCCTTGTGTCGAAATGTGCTATATAAATAAACTTGCCTTGCCTCACAGTGGGAGTGTAAGACTGATATGGACAATGCCTACCGATTTGGTCGCATTGAGGTGAGCTGTGAGGGCTTCAGCCAACCTGCTGACTCCCTCATCCTGAGGGGCTCCTGTGGGCTAGAGTACACTCTGGAGCTGACTGAAGGGGGTCGGAGGACAGCCCAGGGCAGCGGGGACACGCATGGTGGATCTAAAGGAGGTAGGAGGATTGATACTTGATGTTCATGAGGCTTCATCTTCACACAATAACTAAATATTCTTAAACATCTGTTTTGTCTTTCTCAGGTCTGGGGGGCTTTGCCTCCAGTTTCTTCAGCGGTTTCTCTGGAAACAAGCATCAGGGTCAACAGCAGAGCCAGCAGAGTGCGTCCCCCTCAGGCGGGGAGGACTCAGCTGGCCTGCTGGGGGTCGCTGTGCTTCTGCTCTTAGCCTTCGGAGTCTACAAGCTTTTCCTCAGTGGGAACACGGCCCAGGGGGGGCAGGACAGAGGACAGGCTGGTTACCCAAGAGATGATCACCACAGCTCCAGCACAGGACCCCCGCCCCCGGGATTCAAACCTGACTTCACAGGCAGCTCAGGTAATATGTCAAAGTATGGGTAGAGTGACAATAGGTGGGCTGGTTGCTCTGCACTTTCTCCCTGGAAAGCCCTTCCTCAAAGAACCGCTGTGCTGGATACACGCTAGGGGTTTCACCAACTAATCGACTAGTGGACTAGTCCAGTGTTTTTCTAAGTGGGGGCCCCGACCCCCCCGGGGGGG